CCCATGAATGGAAATATTTACTCGCATTTGTGACGGACGTGGAATGTGTCCCATTTTTCACTTGAGGAAACAACAATTCGACTTATTCAATTTCAAGTGTTTAGCACAATTTACGAATTGCTGTCATTTCTTATATAAAAATTCCGTACAGGTAATACATTTACTTTACTGAAAGCTACATGAACAAAAGGTGATAACATCTTGACTACCAGCATCTTTGCACTTTGAACTTTTATAATGGCGTGTCTGTTGTCTGCACTAAAGTTATCTCACGGGACACTGGGGTGACATGTTCACCCTTATTGACTACGTGAATTAATTAACGTCTTTTTGGTTTCTTATTTTTAATTTTGACTTGAGTTTTAAGTCATATTGTTTGCCTGACAGGACATACTACCCGCTTTTCGGCTCTTGTCTATTATTCAAACTAAAAGTAAGACGATACTCGCCATCGGTGTAGTTTTACATCTTCATTCACTATTGTGCCTTTTGTTGTCAACTCTGGCTGATTTTTCGTCTTATTCCAAAAACTATTTTTCAAGATAACATCACGACGTTTATAAAAAGCACGTATTGGACTTAAACGTCAAGTATTTTTGTTCAGTAAAAACAGTAAATGTTCAGTAAAAGTAATAAACGCTCAGTAAAATGATCAATTGCTCAGTGAAACAATAAATGTCCAGAATACAGTAATACCTAATAGTATATTATGTTCTTACGAGTAAAAATGATAGTTTTTGTGACGAATCTCACTTTTACTTCGAATTACATACTATTTTATTCGCAAACGTATTCAGATTGAGCAACACTATAATTACCAAGTAGATGAACAAAATAATCAGAATACAATAATACTTAATAGTATATTACGTTCTTAGGAGTAAAAATGATAGTTTTTGTGACGAAGCTCACTTTTACTTCGAATAACATCAGGATGAATATAAAGTATGGAACCAAGCGGTTTTATTTTTAATCATTATCCTCCATCAAATAATAATTAATATAAATTAAAGTAATATAAAAAATGTGATCGTATTTTCAGAACGAGATTTTGTTTTGTTTTTGAGTTATGCGATTTTTTTTGTCAAAATTTGCAATTTATGTGTAAAAATTTAAAAAAAAAAATTAATTATAAAGCGGTTAGTTGTAATCCTTAGAGGATAGCTTTTATGAGAAAAATGATGTTATAGTGGGTCGCCATTTAAAAAAAATATTTTTTTTGTAGAACTCAAAAACAAAAGGAAATTTCGAAAAATTTTATTCTTGATAAATTATCACATTTTTATAGTACTTTATCATCAATTAGTTTTTTCAAAAAATAAATAGTGTAAGCAAAAAATGTTAGGTTCCATACTTTTTATTCACTTGGTATACTATTTTATTCGCAAACGTATTCAGATTGAGAGTAAAGAACAACACTATAATTTGCAAGTAGATGAACAAAATAATCAGAACGCTTTGCAAGTAATGAAATCATAACAACGCTTATAAACAAACATCACGCATCAGTATTGGAATTTGTGTTGAGGTTTTCAAAAGTGTTATTTAATTTCCCTAGTGCAGTTGGTAGTGCAAAATGTCGAATGATGATGATCTACAATGTACCTCTCTAATATAAATTGCTGAAACAGTAAAAAAACATTGATAAATGTTAACAATCTCATGGTAAAAGTAAAAACGCTTAGGCGCAAAAGTACAATTTTTACTCCATGATTGAAATATAAAACTTTTATTTGTGACATTTAGTCATAAGAATGATCACTTTTGTGACGTTTGCAGATAAAATCATTTAAGTTAAAAGCCATTGGTATCAAAATAGTTATTTTTGTCACAAGTACTAAAATACAGTTTTTCTCTAATATAAATTGCTGAAACAATAAAAAAAAACATTGATAAACGTAAATAATCTCATGGTAAAAGTAAAAACGCTTAAGGCGCAAAAGTACAATTTTTACTCTATGACTGAAAGATATAACTTTTACTTGTGACATTTAGTCATAAGAATGATCACTTTTGTCACGTTTTCAGGTAAAATCATTTAAGTTAAAAGCCATTGATATCAAAATAGTTATGTATGTTTAATTTTTCGAAAATAGTGATAAAAAATTAAAAATTATATCCAAATCCAAAACGATTTTATGTTCTATTTTAATGAGTTTGAACAAAACTTATTTTAGGCTTAAATAAATCTGTAAAATTTTTAGAAGAAAAAAAACCTTACGTTTTTTCTCTCCAGAAATTGCTAAAACAGGAAAAGAAACAAGAATTTAGAGACAACACTGATAAATGTCATGGTAAAAGTAAAAACGCTTAGGCGTAAAAATAGAGTTTTTACTCCATTTAGTCATAAAAGTGATCTTTTTTGTGACGTTTGCGGATAAATAATGCTCTTGGAGTTAGGCACTGTGCAGTTTTTGTGTTAAACAAATACAATAAAATACTGTGCGTGCTTTTTTATCATTTCTTATTTCTACTGCGCAAATATTGATTAAACACTGATCATTTATCGTCTTATGCTTAGCTTTATGAAAATATGTGCCGTGTGAGGAAGCAAGAAATAATTGAAAACATTAAAAGAGCAATCGGTTTATAAAGGGGGACGATAAATTGAACCTCGTGTAACTTAAGCCACGTATTGTTGTCATTCGTATGAGGGCGTCGCCATGCTCCAATTACGCATTATGCTTGAAAGTGTTGGCCGATTGAATTAGGATTGTTTTTTTGGACCAGTCAGATGAGTTAACTTCGAAGGAATATGTCTTTTGTGCTGATAAGTATCTGAAAAAAAAACTTGTACGTCGTATTGTCAACTCTTCAGCTGGAGATCGTGTCTGATAACTTGAAAGATTGGGAATCTGTTTGTGATGTAACAATGGAAGAAAAAGAAAATGCGTTTTGTTGAAGGTATTTGCTGTGACCTGCGTCAAATGGATTGATAGTGCTTTCGTGTTGACATCTTGTTTTCATGGTTTAATTCAGTTACTTATGTTTTCTTTGTATTTGTTCTATTAAAACTTTTTTGCCGTCGAAAACTGAAAGAAAAATGTAGGAGAAAAGTGTTAAAAGTGTTAATCTTAAAAAAGTAGTTTTTTAGTAATTTTTGAATAGCTCAGCTAAGCTAATAAGGTGGAATTCACTCATTTTTCTTAAAAAACATGACGTTAAGTAAAGAGTATTTGTTTTTTTGTTAAAAGTAAAACATTGTTCTATAATATGTGTTTATTTTATTAAACAATTATTTTCAATTTCAATACTTTTTCAATTCTGAAAGCTCCAGCTTCATAAAAAAAATAGTATGCAACTAACATTACACAACTGTTTACATATTGCATATCACAGTTATTAAATAAAGAAAAATTCAGAATTCAATTATTAATTTTTGTAAAATAATTCTGTATAAAATATATCAAAATAATTGCTATATTAAATAAATAATTAAAACACTATTAGCAACATTATTAATTAATTAAATTAAAATATCTCGATTAAAAATAATTTAATAAAGTAAAATTAATTAATAACGTTTTTAGAAAACAATATTTGATTTTTTCCGCTAAAGATTAGAGCAAAATAAATAAATTAATACGGTCCACTCTTTTATTGCATGTTTTACAAGATAGTATACAACCTTCGATAGCTCAGTTGGTAGAGCGGTGGACTGTAGAGGATCAAAAAGCTGATATCCATAGGTCGCTGGTTCAAATCCGGCTCGAAGGAAATCCTTTTTTTTCAGTTTACTTTATTTTACACGAACTTTATGCGTGATAAAAAAATTCCACGTATGAATACTTTATTTTACACTATATTTATTGATTAACTTGCTGTAAAAATGTTAGATAACATCGTAAAAAGCTGATAAATTTAGCATTTTACGTTGGCACTTTTGCAATTATTATAGTTGAATGTTAAATAAACTGTAACAGGTGAAATTACATAAAAATGTTGTGAAAACCAGTCTGGGGCTATTTCGTGCACAGATAACAACCTTGCAAGGACGCCAATGAAACAATCAAAGCTACAGTTTTAAGAAATTGCATTCTGAAATTACTTGTATAAAAACGAACCGATTAAAAGTAAATTATCAAGTGTTTAGAATGTTTAGAATGTCGAAATGACTTTTTCTAAACCTTGTTTAGTTAACAAAAAGACAAAAATAAAGGTAATTTTTTGCTTGACCAATTGTTAAAATTCTTGTTGACTATTAATACAAAAATATTTGAGACGTGACATTTCTAAATCAAAAACAAAACAGTCTATAAAAATAACATTTGCATGCTTATCTTTTACATCTTGTTATATGGGTTTAACATTAATTGTTAATTATAATTAATTTACTAGATATGACGAATTTAAATTTTATCGATATAGGGTAAAGCCGGGAGAGATGGACCAACGGAAAAGATGAACTTCGGAACTTAGAGCTCTTCTACGGCTCCATCTTCAAAACATTTGTAGTTTAAATGAACTAAAGTTCATTAATTTTGCAGCAAATTTCTCAAACTCTAATACCTACATCTCACCCTGACTTACCCTATTATTTACTTGCTATTTTCTTCAGAATATTATATTTCGTAAAATATGTGCGACTGTTTTAATAATAGGAATATTTTCAAAAATTTGTAACACTATTGCGTCATTTAATCACAAAAACAAATCTTTAAAGCAGTTTTCCTAAATAAGTATCATACTTACCTACTATCTATAATCTATTTTCAAGGTATACAGCACACTAAAATATTATAAAATAGGTTGAACCTACATATTGTGGAGTAATTGTTATAAATGTGAGTTTCACAGGGGGGCAAACGGCTTTGCCGCGAGCCCCCAATAATTTTGACAAAACATTTGCGAATCGGTGTGAGTTATAACCACCATTCCTAGTTTAACATTTCTAAGACTTGTCAATAAATTAAACAATGCTTTGAATGTTTTATTGCTGTTTAAAACTGACACTTGGTACATACAGGGAGAACAGGAATGATAAATTTATGATATAAAAACACTTTTCGCAAAGATTTTATTACCTAATTTACAAATTTCGTTATAGTTAAATATAAAAACATGTCGTCAATAAACTAATTATTAAATAGTTATGAGCAAATAGTCGATTATTAAAAAGCTTGACAACTTTGTAATAATTAGCACGTTTATGTCAATTCCTTGCTAAAAATACAGTTCACTTCACTCAAGTCTCGTTTAACTATGAAATAAGACCGAGTTTATTGGGAGGAACTAGATTAAATCAGTACGAAGGCAAGAGTTTTGATCACAACGACAAAAATTTCATCAGCGCGTCATAAATTAACCGTGGACTGATAGTACCATCAGCCGTGTACCGAACCCCACGTAAAGACCCATCATCATGGCTGACAACCCCATACTCCCCGACGATAAAACCATCAGAAGTTCGTTCTTCCACTCTGTATTTCCTGTAATTCCGGCCTTCGACCACATAACCGACTTTCTGATTATCGTCAGTTTTCTTGCTTTCTTTGACTTCTTCTTTCGAGGGAAGAGTCGGACTTGGTTGAATGCCGTGGATGCGGCCGTTTGTCATGACACTGGCAGATTCGTCAACTTCGTAATTTTGCTCAGGCTTGCCGTAGACGGTTGGTAGACGTGGTGGGGTGTAGGGTTTTTCCTGAATTTCCCAATTGCGTTCAGTTGTGAAACCATTGGTGTCGTTAAATTTCACTTTTTCGCCCTCGTTGTGGAAATTGTTGCCAAAGGAGGATTCAAAATGGCGTTCGTGGCGTTCATGTTTGTCATTTTCCCAATCTTTGTCAGCTTGAGGGTGAGGCACTGATTGGATGACTGTGCTGTAGGACACCGATCTGGCCCGATTTGGGTCTCTTGGATTGTTGTGGTAGATGACAGTCTGATGAATTGGGTGCAACTTGTTTTTCTCCCAGTTTTGCCTTAAATGGGGGTTTGGTAAAGGTTGCACACTTGCAGGATATCCTTGGACAAAATCCCTCGTCTCGCTGTTGGTAGTAATGGGTTCGCTTTCTTCAACGCTAAATTCGCTTTTGTTCGCTTCTGCTACTATACTAGGATGTTCCTCTGAAGCAACGAAATTTTGGTCTGGTTCAACTGTTGTTGTTGTTTCTTCAGTTGCTTCTTTATTGATTAGTGTCCTACCTACCGACGAAGACACACTCACAGCAACGACTACACCACTAGAGTCACTGGACGGTTCGAGTTTACGTAATTGAGCACTTAGTGTCGTATCGTAAAAACTAGATTCTTCTGTGGATTGAGCAAGAGGAGGCGATGTCAAAAGTGAGGTGCTTCGAGTTGCGCGAGTGTAAGAACTGTCGATGGTGTTTGATTGCCAAGTTGTCGGTTCGGGGGTTGTGCTTGTGGTGGTTTCAAGGTAGTCTTGGTGAAGAGATGAACTCATGAAGACTGAGAGGAAGTCGGCTCCTGTCAAAAGGCCTCTGTCGTCGGCACCGCGCTCCTGACGCATCAGCGGCAGGCCCTCGGTTGCCATCCTCGTACCGAAAATCATCTGCAAAACAAAGATATTAAAGCAAAGTGTCAAATTCGTGCTTTTCTAAAATAAAGTTATACTAGCACATTTTTTGTAATATTCTAATAAAACCACAACATTTTTCTCATTGATCAGAATGTGGTTCTTTAAAAAAAAAACACAGTGTCATATATTTTGACTAAAGAAACAAAAACAAAAATCAAGCTATAAAAACTATATTGTGTTAACAACCTAAAAGACATAACAATTATTTTATTGGTCCTTTTTAAGTTTCTGTTTTGATCTAGAAAAAACTCTTCTCAAATAATTCCGTTTTTTTTTTGTTATTACACCGGCAAATCTTTCTAAAAGCTTTAAAAAAATGACACGAATGACCAAATAGCTTTTAGAAAGTTATAAGAACATCTAAAATTATTTGCAAACTTTTACAATTCTAAAAAGTTAATTAAAACTGGACTGCCTGTGAGGGTTCAAAATGTTTTTAGTTTATTTGAACTGAAATATTATTTGTACAAAAATACAGGATGAATAAAAAGTATGGAACCAAACTGTTTTTTTTTTAATCATTTGCCTCCAGAAAATAGTAATTAATTTCTATTAAAGTGATATAAAAATGTGATCATATTTTGAAAATAAAATTTTGTTTTCTTATGCGATTTTTTTGTCAAAGTTGCAATTTATATATATATTTTTTAAATTAAATATAAAGTTAAATATTAAATATAAAGTAGAAAAAAAAGATTTCCTTTTTTAGTAGTTTTTGAAAAGCTGTAATTCATCAAAAAATGATCGTATCTAGATTTCAAAAAAACCATTTTGATACTTTAAGTTTCTAGTTTTGAGATTTTTTAGCAAATATTTTTTCTGTGCTACTGAAGAAAAAAATTCTAAATTTTTATGTTTCCTTTTGGTCCACTGACATGGAGAATTAGTTTTAGTTCCATAAAATCATAAAAGGATCTTATAAGACATTTATTCCAGTTTTTGACTCTACCATTATATTCTCTATGTGGTCATCATACTCGTATCTCAGCGACAAATTGACTTAAAGAAAATATGAAAAAAGAATATTAAAGGTAAAAAACATGCTATCCGGCCTATGCATTGACTTAACTAAAAAAAAATCTCCACGTTCGTGGATCAAAAAAAAACAAAAAATTTTGATTTTTCTTCTCGCGCTATTACTTAGAATTGCGTGATAACCGCAACACAAAAAAAATTTGACAAAAGATCTCAAAACTAGAAACTTAAAGCTTCAAAATGTTTTTTTTAATCTAGATAAAACCATTTTTCGATGAGTAACAGCTCTTCAAATATTACCAAAAAATTAAAAAAAATTTTTTGTTTTTTAAATTTTTTGGGGTAGTGTACTTTATCATTCTTCAATTAGTTTTTCCAAAAAATTAAATAGTTTAAGCAAAAAACGTTTGCTTCCGTACTTTTTATTCACCTGGTATATAAAAGTCGTACCTATAGGTACTTATTCGGGTTTCTGATGTTTCGGTTTTTCGGAATTTACCTTCTGTGAAAAGCATTTTTTTAGAATTAAAAGCCTATAGTTATTTACAAAATAAGTGCGTTATGGATAATTTTACAGCCTGAATTTTTAATGTTGAAGCTCGAAACGAAGCTGAGTGCTTCAATAAAACTGAACACTGTAAAATGCACAAATAAAGAACAAAAATTTTCACCACAAGGTGAAAGTTGATCAGAATCAAGAAAAAAAGTGTTTACTTTTTAATATTAAATGGATAAATGACTGCAGTATTAAAAAACTTCATTTATCGTAAAGTAACATATTTGGAGGGGTCTAAAAACTTGAAATTTTTATGTTATTTTCCCGCACGGCGTGCGGTAAACTTTGACAAATGCTTTGAAAAAATGAAATACCGTAGGTGTCAAAAATATGTAAACATGTCAATTATACTTGTCAAGTATAAAAAAAGCTTTGTTTTTTTATTTTTGGCAGTTGCACCTTTTTTGATGAATGACTTAAGGAAATAATAATTTTGAAACTAAAGTTGATAAAGAAGAATTTAGAATATGCAACTCCGGGCTCATTTCAATAAATTACACAAAATTTATCACCAATTGCTTGTGTTTTTTGTAAAATAATTTTTTTCTATGTAGACACCCTTTTTCATTAAAGCTTTTGTACCAAGAAGCTCATTTTTGCCCACAACATCAATTTCTATCAATATCATTAGCACTGAATTATGTCTTTAGACATTAGGTAGTGGTTTGTTCTCAGATATGAGCAAACAGGCACACAATTTTTTTTTACCAAAATTTTGACTTAGTGATTTTTTTTTAAAAACCATACTAGTCATCAATGGGTGGAAAATCCGTCTTCATTGGGTTGGCTCTTACCACAACTGTCGTGTGGGATGTTGATATGGTTTGATATAATTATCTGGGATAGGTGAGGTTGGTTTTAGCATGTCCTTGAACTCTACCGGCGCCATAAAATCCCATATGATTGATTTTCAATTTTGTTGTCACAAACAATTTGAATTCGCTTTTATTATTCTTTAATCTTTTAATAAAAGCAATAATGTTGTGGCAGTTACATAATTTTGAGTACTTTATTATAGAAGGCTAAAAAGTGTTGAAACTAATGCAAGAAGTGGAACAAAACTGTAAAAATCTTAATTGTGTTCAATGACAGATTTTAATTATAACCAGGAATTCGAACTGCTCCCAAATTGAGATTCTTGATCAAAATGAGCAAACATGCCAAGGGAATATAGATGTGGGTTGATTATTTAACTGACCTTATAATGCAAATAGACGCAGTATTTAATTATTCAACAAAGTTTTGCAACGCGTAAATTTTCAAACTTGAAAACTGCATATTTAATTAAATATAATTAAATGACGTTCATCGCCACTTTCCATTTTAAGTGTAACAACGGTCAAAAACGCATTTAGTAGTATTCTTGCGTTACATAATAAAACAAATTCTTTTCATCGAAATGTCAACATGATGGGCGTTACGCGATTCGCATGCATTTCCTAAACATAAAATCGTTTCAGGAATGTTGTTGCATCTCGGGAGATATACAACGTTTCGATAATCTGCATTCAAAGCGGATGACATCCAAAGAGTGGAGACAAACCTGTTGAAGGAACGACGACCTATGTATTCGCATTTAAATCCGTTTTACATATAAAGCATTGGAATTCGACAAAAGCAAAATAAACTTAACGAACTATTGTGTTGAGTACTTGATCCGGCCTTACAACGCCTGTCAGAGTGGTATTCGAGACCCATGGAGGATTTCGGTGTTTCAACACTGGCGCCTGTGTACCATAATTAATTAAAGAAAAGCCAAAAAAATAATTTTTCCTCAAGTGATCTTGAACTTAAACCTCAAAAACACTTCTAATGATATATAGTTTTGCAGTTTTTCATCAGGCACCTGCTTAGTAGATAATTATGTTGATGTTACATAAACAATGTTTTGCATATTGAAAAGTCGAAGGTGAAAAACAGCATAGAATTTAAAAAATGTAGCAGTAAATTAATCAGAAGCTCCCGACTCTATAAATTGAATTGTTCTGTAGCCTTGCCTCGGGTCACGAACACAGAAATAGCGTATTTTTCACAACGCTCCGCTTTCGAAAAAGCAGTTTAATTCTGGATTAATTACTGGTAGTTTGCTAGACTGGATAAAAAAGGCGTATCTCTTGTTATGTTTCTTGACAGATTATAAGACGTCGGCCTTGCACATGAAAAAAACGTGCATACGTTTGCAATCAACAATCGCTTGTGAGTGGGAGGTGGCGCTAGCGACCATAACGCCCTGTATATTCTTCGAATTTGCGACATACAAGGGGCCGGAGTCAATATGCAATTTGTTCAGAAATTCAAACCCATTTCCTCATCAGCAATTCTCGCTTCAACACATTTTGCAATTTCCTACTAGCAGTTAAATTTTTATTTTTGTTTAGTGTCAAAGTTACAAAATAAAGAGATTATTAAAATAAAGAGACATTTTTCTTTAAAAACATTTCCTTTTTTTTGGAGACTATACTCTTAAGTAGTGTTTTTTTTAATCTGTCAAAAATTAAGAAAGAAATAGTATTTGCATTACAAGGGAAAAAACTGTACCTTTTCCTCCCACATGTGGAAGCTACTGGCCAAAACTTGTCGTAAAACAAAACAAAAAAAACATTTTCTTTCCTACGATCCAAGAAGAAAAACTTCCAAAATAACAATTTTTCTTGATATTCCAGTTTCGCCTTTAAATCTAGCAGCATTTTTTTCCATTTCAATGGGGAAGGTAAATTTTTTACTTTTACCGTCTTGAGAAATTACATACAGTGTGATTCAAAAATGTCAGATCAACTCCCGAATGGTGATTTTTGTTTCAAGTTTTTTTTTTAAATGGAACTGTCAATTTTTATATTATCATGCAGGACTCTTAGTTTTTTGTTTCCAATTTTGTTAGATTTTATTTATTGTTGAATTTGCTAGTTAATAACAATTTTTCTTGATATTCCAGTTTCGCCTTTAAATCTAGCAGCATTTTTTTCTGTTTCTATGGGGAAGATAAAATTTTTACTTTTACCTTACATACAGAGTGATTCAAAAATTTCAGATCAACTCTCGAATGGTGATCTTTTTTGATAAAAACAGAACTGTCAATTTTTAAATTATCATGTAGGAATCTTAGTTTTTTTGTTTCCAATTTTGTAGATTTTATTTATTGTTGAATTTGCTAGTTCGTTAAATGTTTTTTTAGACCATAAGACACAAATTGATTTTTTTCAAATAATTTTTTATCATGAGAAATTTTAACTCAGTTCTATGTCCTTTATCGCTATCACCTAAGAGAAGGTCCAATACTTTTTAATCACCCCGTATATTTTTAATGTAACTTTGACAGGTGAGGGAAGGAAATTTTTTTCTCCCGGAAAGATAATTGGCCCTTTCTTTTCTGAAATTAATGTGAAAAACCTTATTTTCTATTAAGGTCGTAAGAAAAAGTTTAAACAGAAAAAAACATTTTCCT